AGTGTCTCTTCCTTATAATGCAGCTCTCTAATTCACCAGTTACAAGGTTCAGATGTCAGAAGTCACACTTGTGATTCTGAGAATGAAACATTTATCACTTATCCATTGGGTGCTAACCACTCCAATACAAATGAACCATTCCCTTCCTTTGCTTCTTCTTGTTCTTAAACGAAGGAGCGGCTTTAAGGTAAATTTGGTGCACCAACTTCACACTATTACTTGATTCACTTAATTTTCCTGAATGTCCCTGCAGAGACTGGAGGAAAACAAACTGTGTCTATCAATCAGGCTTGTTTTTTTTTTTTAAACTTAAGAGTAATCCTGTCAGATTTTTCTAACTTTCTCCACTTGCAAAACACAGTACTAAGCACATTTACTTTGGATGCTTTTCTGCATTGTCTAATCCAGGTGAAATCATTCGAACTGCTACAGACGAATTTTGTCAAAAGAACAATTTCTTTCCTAGCTATGAGCTGCTCAGCGTCCGTGGATGGGCATAATGAAAAAGTGAAAACATCTTTCTACAGGTGACTAGCATGGTGATACAGCTATAGCTCCCTGATCCATTTTTGTTGATGGCAAAGTTGGTTTAAGAAACCTCCAGCTCCACGCTTTGCTCCCAGCTGCTTTTTCTTCACACACACACACACACACACACACACACACACACACACACACACTTCCTTAGCTGTATCAGTCTGACTGCTCGTGGGGTTGTGCTGTACATTGGATCGTCCAAATAATGAAAATTAATAATAGGTCTATAATACCTCTTTATTTATTATTATTATTATTTAATGCATGGCCTCAATTAGCGGTTTTGGCAGATACGGAAGGGCAGCTAACTGCAGAGTGGATATGAGAACACGTCTATAAGACAGGTGGCAGCAAGGACAGAAACTTCTTAAGCTCGTTTTGCTGTCTGAGAAAACACACGACGTATCTACCCTGATGGGATGTGGAGAAGTCCGTATCAACCGTGCCTGTTCTCCCAGTGAAATCCCCCATTCACGCCAAGAAACTCCACCACCATGAGCAAGCGCTGGGCAAGCTTGACTCTTTACCCTACATAGAGGGGGCTTAATACAGTAGAGAGGTAGTTCTTAAATGTCTCCATCTCCTGCATCTTTAACCTCGTGTGAGTCACCTTCCTTTCTTTTTCTACTGAATCCACCCTCCCCTAAACGAATTACTTCAGAAATTGCTATGCAAATCATATTTCTAAATTACTGGGAGAGGAAGGGAGGGGTTAATAGTACACAGAACAAATGTTTATGTCCTGAGCCATGCAACAGATTAAAAACAGAAGTTATTTACCTTTGCGTGTACATATGGTACTTTACTGACTTTAAAGATACAGTATAATCCCTGCCTCAGCAGTTGTATTGGTGCAGGTTTACCATCCAAAAACATCCAAAAGAGATGTTTTTTCAACTGTTTCTGATATTCAGCTCATAGATGCAAGCATTAGTCTTTTTCCAGGATGCCAGGTTTTCCCATCTGCTTGAAAAGGACAATATTGGAAAGCTTTTACAACCTGTATTTAATGGAAACCTGCAAGGCCTTTTCATTATTCTTTCTTTGACCTGCTGAGATTAACTCCACTCTGTCCTTTTTTCTGGTTAGACAGACGTGCAGAGACTTGACTCGGCCTCGTAACGACAGTCACTTCACCCACTACAGAGTCTTTAAAAAGGGTTTAATCCCACGTAAAACATGACTGTGTTCATCACTACTTTGTGGCAGTTGCATGGTAACATTAATGTGAGCACGACCTACTTACTGGATAAAACGCTTTCAGGTTGCCTTGCCCTCGCAGCTCGGGTGGCAGAGCCACTTGTGCAATAGCTGTCCAACTACTACGATTAAATCATGTTGTCACAGAAACTCTAGTCTTTAGCTGTATTCATATTTACTACACATTTGTAAAGAAATAGCCACTGAACAAAGCAGGATGTGCATTGTTCTGCGCGGATACGTGCCACAGCGCAGTAACGTCCATCAGCAAAGCACGAGGCTATGGTAGCTGGTTCAGGAGCAGGTTGGCCAGCCAGCCAGCAGCGAGGTGCAAAGCTGAGGGCTCTGCTGCAAGCCGCCCTCTCCTGCCCGTGCCCCAAGATCCTTAGACGTGACTTGTATTTTAACCGGATGCCTGTACATCAGCCTGGTTGGAATTCCTTAGAGGGTCAGTGGACCACCAATTTCCTGGATTTACGTTTGGCCTGGGATAGTTATCCTATCCTTGTAATTATTTTGGTTTTTACATGTAATTATTTTCATACTTCCTTTCTGTTAATGTATTGCTGCTATTTTTAACTTTGAGCCCATTCCAGGTAGTTTTTCTCTGGGAATTAGCAATTACGGTTATTTTCATAAAGTAGAATTCAGCCATTCTGCAACATTAGCCTTCAAACTTAAACTAATAAGTCTTTGGAGCTTCTCTGTGGAAGTCTTCAAAACGGTACTTGCCAAGGTGGAAATATTTTGGTTTTGTGAATAAAAATACCCTACTTACTACTTTTAAGAAGCAGGCCTGTTTCTTTCATGCAGTTTGGTATAATCACTGCGAACTCAGCACTGTCTTAGGCCCTTCTCAGGAACAATGCTTTAAATGTATTTAAAGAAATTAGGCTAGTTAGAGACACCAGGGATACCTGCTTTCATTTCTTTCCCAGTGTATCCTTTCGTAGCTCAGACATCTCACTGTGGTATACATCTTGGCTACTCCTGAAATTTCCAGTCCACCTACTTCCTTGCCTCAGTTACCAGCTGTGAAATGGAGGAAGATTCCTCTATACAAGTGCATTTATAGCGGCTCTTAATCCACCCACCTCTTTTCTCTACCTCATCCCTCAGCTTTTTGACGTTCTGCTGAAAGAGTTGCTGTGGCAAGTTTTTGCTGGCATGCTTTATTTTGGCGTGTACACCAGATAAAGTAGCTGTTTTTTCCGCTCTTGCCCGAGCCAGGGAAAGTTATTCTGGTACCCGGGGCAAGAGGCCAGTTAGGTGCACGCTGGCCTTGGTTGAGTTGCTCCTTTCTGAACTTTAAAAACAGGTTGGTATTTCCTCCTCTTTTTCCTTGTGATTCTGTATCTGTTTTCTAATACTTCTGTTTGTGCCACCTGCAAAAAATAGAGAGGCTTTTAATTGCATCCCAAGCAAAGGCCTTGAGAGGATCCTGTTAAAGATATAGGAAATCAGAAAAGTCAAAGAAACTACTTTTTTAAAGGACCAAGAGAAAACACAAATAGCTAAAAAAACTGAACTTATTCTGCTTTTCAGATTTGTCAGTTTTTTTCAGACAAGTTATGAGATAAATTCCTGACAAACAGACTTCATAAAATGAGCCGTGTGGAGAAAAAGAAGCACCGAAGGGATCCGAAAGTCTTTGAAATGCCACCGTTCTCTTCTTGTGTCGTGTTGCTCCGAGACAAATGCATTTAGTATTTTGCGTTTATGTAACGCTTTTCGTGATAAGGGTTTTGGAAAAGTTCACGGGAATGACAACAAACTTAACAGCTAATCTTGCCAAGCTTAAGCATGAAATCTAGCAGAACCAGGCATAAGCCGATAGCCTCTTCTCTTTGACCTATCTGTTCTTCCCCACCTGAAGTGTCTCAAAAATAAATTTTTTTTTTTTACAAATAACCTTATGAAACCACCATTTTACAGCTGGGAATTTGGAGGGGGGAAGAAAAAACAAACCAAAAAACCCATCACGGGATAACAACCAGAGCCAGATCAGGGAAGAACTGCGCGCAGCCTGGCCACTGGCTAAACCGGCGTTTCCGCAGCCCAAATCCATTGCTGTGTTTATGGGCCACGTCAACATCTGTGCTCGAATTACTCTACATAAGATATATTAAAAAAAAAAAAGGGGGGGGCAGGGAATTACTGCGAAGAGTCTGCAAGCCCCGACTTTCAGCTGCAGCTGTGTTTTGCGTTCAGTTTACTGCTTCCAATTATTCCTGCACCGCGCAACACAAACTCGCACGCGCTTTCCGTTTCCTCACGGCTTGCAATTTCTTTAGTTCTTGCACATATTTTCTGCATTTTACAGACAATCAGCAGCTTTTCAGCTCCCTGACTACCGCTCAGCTTTCCTCCGCGTTATTTTTAGCCCCAGCGAGCTCCTCGGCAACTCCAGCTCGCCAAGCCCTGAGCCGACGTTAAGAAAACGGACCCGAGACGCCACTCTCGCAAACGTGGTTTCTCATTCCCTTCCC